GCAGCCCAAAAAAGTAGCTCCTCCAAGCTCTGCCAACCTGCATATTTCTGCTACCTCTATCTTTTGAACTCTTGGGACTGTTGCTCCTGTTCTCCCATTCATCTAGCAGGCATATTACATAATCCATCAAGCTATGTATTTGCAGTGAAACCCAGTTTACATCACCTTATTCCTTGCTGTAACTAAGTTAAAGTGTGAACTGAAACCGTTCCCATTTTATTTATTTATTTAATTTCTATACCACCCATCTGGCAACCCAGGCCACTCTGGGCAGTCTCCACAGCACAATAAAACAGAGTATAAAGACAAAACAATAATAGGACAGTACCGTGTTTCCCCGAAAAAAAGGCAGGGTCTTATATTAATTTTTGCTCCAAAAAAAGAGTAGGGCTTATTTTATGGGGATATTTTATTTTCATGTACAACAATCTACGTTTGTTCAAATACTGTCATGTCATCTTCTGGTTGCTGCACAATGGTGGAGGGCGGGGTTTCACTTAACTAGGGCTTATTTTGGATGTAGGGCTTATATATTACGAGCATCCTGAAAACTCATACTAGGTCTTATTTTCAGGGGAACAAGGTACAGTAGTATTAAAATAATCAATGCAAAATAGACAAATGAAAATACTATCAGTAAGACATTAAAATAAAAATTAGGAAAGCATGACTGAGGCTGAACATTAGCTGTTGTATTAAGGTATAATGAAGTCCGGGAAGGCCTGTCTGAATAAAAAATATTTTTTAATAATCGCTTAAAAGTTCCCAATGAAAGTGCCAGGTGAATTTCGGGTGGGAGAGCATTTCACAGTTGTGGGGCTACTACCAAGAAGGCCCAGTTTCTGGTCACTGATTTCTCAGTCTCTCTTGGGGTCAAAACTCTCAACCACCCCAGCCTGGGAAGATCTTACAGGATGGGCAGATCTGATCAGAAGGGGGCATTCTGCCAGATAATGAGGTTCCAAACCATTTAAGGCTTTGTATATTAACAACATTACCTTGAAGCTGGCACGGAAATGAACAGGTAACCAGTGCAGTATGGCTAGGGTGGGGGGGATATGTTGGTGTCTCCTCAGCCCACTTAGTAATATGGTGGCCAAGTTCTGGACCTGATGGAGTCTCCGTGACAGCACCAAGGGCAGCCCCACATAGACAGCATTGCAGTACTCTAATCTCAAGACTACCAGTGCATGGACCAGCATGGTGAGGGACCCAGTGTCAAGGTAGGGCCACAGCTGAGTGACCAGCCTTCGATGCAAATAGGCGGTGCAGACCACAGACGCTATCTGAGATTCCATTGATAGCACTGGATCCAAAGTATACCCAAGCTGTGCACCTCATCTTTTGTGGGAAGAGAACCCTCCCCAAAAAAGAAAGGGAAGCACCCAGACCACACAGAACAGGGGCCCTCACCCCCAGGATTTCCATCTTGTCCAGGTTCAGTCTCAATCTATTGTCCTTCATCCAGTACAGCATCCAGTCAGCATTCAAGGGACGGGACATCATCCACTGCAGAAAGGTGGAAGAAGAGGTGGAGCTGCGTGTCAACTGCACATTGATGACACGAAGCTCCAAAACTCCTAATGACCTCCCCCAGCGGCCTCATATAGTTATTAAATAGCATTGGGGAGATTATCAAACCCTGCGGGACTCCACAACTGAGAGTCCACGGAGTGGAAAACACTTTCTAGGAATGGTCCTCCAAGAAGAAACAGGCCAAGGCCAAGGCCTGACCTCCAATCCCCATCTCAGAAAGCCACCCCAGGAGGATACGATGGTCGCAGATAGGTTGAGGAGGACCAACAAGGATGTTTTGCCCTTACTGGTCTCCCTCAAAAGGTCAACTTGCAGTTGACCAATGGCATTTCCGTGCCATGACACGGCCGGTGAACTTCAACTGGAATGTGTTGAGGGCACTGGTCTCCTCCAGAATTGCCTGAAGCTGATCAGCCACCATTCTCTCCACCTCCTTGCTCATAAAAGGTACTTTGGGTCTATAGTTGTTTATATTATCCACCACCAAGTTGTGCTTTTTCTGAATCAGTCTATTGAGTGTCTCCTTGAGGGCAACCCTCTCTCAAGGAGAGACCCAGTGATAATGACAGTAGCCCATTCTACTTTTAGAGGTCTGTCCACTTTCAGCAACCAGGCTGGGCAAGGGTCTAGTGAAGAGGTGATGGCCCTACAGTGATCAAGTTTCTACCTTGCCTTCCTACCTCATGCCCTAAGGTGATTCTATAAAAAGAAATAATACGTTTGCCAGGTTTGGCTCCCCCTAATCTCCTCTGGGCCTGAACTTAACCAGGGCCTTTACCCATTTCTGAAATCTGGCATAGATCATGCAGCTCCAGAGATTAATCATAGTACCTTCTCAGACAATTTTATTTATTTATTTAATTTATATCCCACCTATCTGGTCAGTTATGACCACTCTAGGCGGCTAACAACGTAAATAAAATACACATAAAATACACAACTGAATATAAAATTATTAACATAATGAACAATAGACAAATTCAACAAGATGGAAAACGAGCAGTAGGGGAAGAAAGGGAAGGAAGACATCAGGGGTTAACTGGGGGAAAGGCCTGTCGAAACATCCATGTTTTTAGTTGGTTTTTAAAGGTACCCAGCGAGGGGGCCACGCGAATCTCCAGAGGTAGGTTGTTCCAGAGGCGAGGAGCCATCACCGAGAACTGAGAAACCCAGTAATCATAGACGGCTTGAAGATAGGGCTGGGGGGAGCATGTCAGCCCAAAATTGTGGGAGGCCGATCACCCACCACCTATGGCAGCAACCAGTATAATGGAAGCTGGCTCCACCTTGTTTAGGGAGCCAGGGTTCTTTGTGACAGCAATCTTTTTAAAGTCGCTGTCCATGGTAAAAGATCCCTATTGCCCACAGTTCCTGTTTATCCTATCCTGTTTGTCCAACAGATGCAGCAATTCTAACAAATGTTAGTGAAAGCAATTTCATTGCCCATATCATTTCAACAAAAGTTACTTCTAAGTTACAGATTTCAATTCAGGTCTGTTGATACCATCATCAACATGGGAGTGTGGCTATTGATCTGTTAAATTCGTATCCTGCCTTTCTACCTCCCAGTAGAATCAACAGAATTGATGCTACAAGCATGACTGGACAAGTTTACCTGATATACCTATCGGCAAACACTGAATGCCTGCCTGGGCTACCAGAAACACCAAAGGAAGGGAGAGGGGAACCCACTTATGACATTCAGAATAGGTCAGAAGTGGCAAAATATTTGGCTTCCTAAAGGAGTGGCGTCCCTCACCCATGCAATTTAAGATGGACAGTAAGTATCCTACGCCATCCCAGTTATTCTGGCCTCTGAGGCAGAAAATCCTTTAAATAGTGTGCTGCATTTCAATTATAGCAGCAAAAACACAATAACAACCCATTCAACAGCAAACCCTCCGCTTTCATGACCCCCCAAAGCAGAGGCAGCGGGTGGTGCCACGCAGGGGAGCATCTCCTGAGGCCCCTGCCTGTGACAGCGCCGACTCCGACTGGGGCCCAAGGAAGGGCAGCGATTTTAAGCGCCCGAACCGGGAAGGGACTGAGGGGAGAAGGTGCTCCTGGTTTACAGCAGCCCCAGTTTTTGCTTCTTTGCCGCCCTGCGGAGACTGCATGTCTCGCCCTGCTTCCTCTCCGACCCACCCAGCCACCCACATCGTAGCTGCCAACGTGCTTCCAGCACCGGGTACTCCTTTCTTCCAACTCGACGTCGCCAACCATGTTCACACCTCAGCCGATGCCCGCCTGCGCGGGAGAGCACCTTCCCCGTCCTCTAGGGCCAAGCAAGACCTGCCGCAAGCCTAACCGCTTCTCTTCTCCGCTAGCCTCGGGCTGCTTGCTGCCTTTCTCCAGGCGCAAGTCGCCGGAGACCATTTTAGCTGGAGGTGGTTGGGTGGGTGGGAGTGAGGTGGGAGTGGTGCGTCGTGAGGACGCTTGCCTGCCTGCAAGCAGCGCGGCCTCCGCTCCAAACTCTCGCGGCGCCTCAGGGGGACAGCCGAGTGGAGGGGAGGGGGGAACCCCCGCCACTGCCGCCTCGTCGCCCCCCTCTCCCCGCCCCCCCTTTGCCGGCTGGCCCTGGTGAGCCTTGCAGTGGCCTGGCTTTGCCGGCCTCTTTGGGGCATCCTCTCTCCGTTGATAGCCCCCGGGGCGAGCGCGCAGGCACTGGAATGAGGCGTGCTCGCCGAGCCAGTGTGTGGGGCTTCGTGTCTCTCTGCTCGCCGCCCTCCCCTCCCCTCCCACCGGCCACCGTTTTCCTCTGGGCTGGGCTTGGCTTCTAAGCCGACTGGTCTTGCCTGGAGGGGTGCCGCTGCTTCAGGCCAGGCGGCCCGAGGGCTTGCCGCTGGTGGCCGAAAGGCGCCTGTTCTGTCTGAAATGTTACAACCTTTTCCCGCTTGCTTTTATGGCGCGAGTAGGCGCGCGTGTGTGCGGTCGCGGTGGCGGCAGTGGGGGGGGGGGACGGCTTGTCTGGCCGAGCGCGGGAGCTGCGTCCCCTTCCCAGTCCTCAGAAAGCGCGCAAAAGCAGCCCGCAGACATTGTGTGTGCATGTGTGAAGGTGTGGGGGGGGAAGGCCTGGGAACGCCTGTCACGGTCTATGAATGTGGGATGACTAAACGTTTATTGAGGAACTACTGGAGGCTTTCGGCGTCTCCTCCCTGAGCACAGTTCATATCTCCCGTGCCTTCGCCGCCGCCGCCGCCGCCTCCCGCGGCGTGTGAGGCTCCCCCTCCACTTGCCCCCCACCCTCCCGCTCCTTCCTCTCTCCTGCAGCGAATTAAACATTTCGTGGCTTAACTGAAGAACCCCCGTGTTTCTGTCTAATTCCGCACCCCCCCCTTTTCCCCACCCGCCTCTCCCGTGCCGTCGCCGGAGAAGCAAGCCCTTCAGCCCCGCACCCCGCATCCGTTCAATGAAGCAGCACAGATCCACGGCGGCTCCAAGTGGGTTTTTGCAGGGCGAGAAGGAGGTGGTGGTGGTGGTGGTGGAGGAGGAGGAGGAGGAAGTGGTAGTGGCGGCGGCGGCGGCGGAGGAAACGAGCTGGGAGTAGCGACAGCAGGCATCTTTGCAAGGCAGCCTTTCGGGTCTGGCTCGGTGTTCTGGGGAAGGAAATGTCACTCAAAGTATCCCCGGATCAGCTCGCTCCTCTTCTCCGCAGGCATTGATTCCGGCCCAGAACGCTGCATTTCGGCAGCTTTGCGATCCGAGAAGGTAAGGAAGCTGTGAGTGCAAAAGGCAACGGCGGCGGCGGCGGCGGCGGCGGCGTGGTCACTGAGAGATTAGGACTCCTTGTGAGGGTAACTTCCCCTCCTCGCCCTCCCCCCCCACTCCTCCCAGTCTTTCCTTTTACACGGTGGTGCATTTAGGTATGATCGTCCTCCCGGGTTGCTCATCTTTTCGAGTTATTTCATCTTGTTTAAGGCGGAACAATTAAAGAGAGCGAGCGAGCGAGAAGACGTGGCCTTTTGAGTCAGCTCCTGTGCATGGATGTAAAGAGTGTGTAGATCCGACTTTTTTTACTTTCTTTTTTTTTTTCTACCCCGACGAGCGTAGAGCCCATAACGTCATTCCGCGATCCCCAGCCCGGCATTTCTCTGCCCCAAAGACCACCTCCTACACCCCCCCGGAAGAGCAGACAGCCATCGATCCCCTTCCAAGAAATTCGTCATCATCTAACAATCCCCCCTTCCTTCTCCCAAATGCTATAGGCTGAGCCCTTTCCTGCCACCCATTGCATACTCCGGACCCCCTCCCGTCGAGGTTCCACTCACCATTCGCTATTCCCAAGGAGCCTAAAGTCTAGGTGCCCCCCTCCCCCATTTGCACGCCTCGCACTCCCTGTTTTCACCTCTGTTCCCATCAGTTCAAATCCGGTTTTGCACATTTCCCCCTATAAACTAGGTTGCAAAACTGCTGTAACTTGCAACTCTTGAAACTTCCTTGGTCGCCGTGGTGTAGTCAAATGTTGCATTACTCAAAAGGACAACAAAAATACACCTCCATCCTCTTGTGGATTACTTTTTAAATATGTATGCATAATGCATTTCCTTCTTCTATTTTAATTTTCCCCCTCTTTCCTTTTCTTGCTTCCTTTCCCTCTTTTTTTCCTTCCTTCCTTCCTTTTTTTTTTTTTTTTTTTTGGCAAGGAAATTTGCTCCATCTCCAGCAGCAACCACTGCTCCTTTTGATGTTGTGGTACGCCGTGCGCATGCGCTCCACATTAGAATTACTGCACTGGCTAGAATAAGTTGGATCTCTTCTTCTCTTCCACTGAAACCCTAAATCATATCAAAAGCTAAAGGGATGCTGAGAGTCCGGAAAAAAGGTTGCCTTGGGATTTGGTCGTTGCCCTTAATAATAACAGTGGTGTGTGCACAGAGGTGAGTGATCAAAGCAGCTGTTCCTTCCCCCCCTTTTTTTTTTCTTTTCTGTTCCTTCACTTTGAATTGCATGGTATGCTTTTGTTAAAAAGGTGCAGAATGCATCACGAGAGCGGCCGGGGGGGGGGAAGGAAATCGTTCTGTATTTCTGTATTTCTGATTTATTTATTTATTTATTTATTTATTTATACCTCTTTTCTTAGTGCTAATGATCCCAGCAATATGTCACTGGTAAAAGAGACCGTGGATAGACTGCTGAAAGGCTACGACATTCGACTGAGGCCAGATTTTGGAGGTAATTTCTATAGCTTTTGTGGGGAAGCGCCCGGCTTTCCACCGCTCAGGCTGCCTGGACTATACCCGTGTCCGCTCCTCCTCCTCTCTCTCTCTCTCTCTCTCAATCTCAATCTCTCTCTCTCTGTGTGTGTGTGTGTGTGTGTGTGTTTTAGTGTTGTCGTTGGTGCTGCATGTGCGTTGCCATTTTCTGAAGTCAGACCCAAACTGAAGCCGATTCTTACCCGATTCTCCTTGGCTTTGAAGGGCTGGCATCTATGTATGTATGCGTGTGTGTACAGCTATATCTACAGCTGTAGATATATACTACTGTATGTAGCTGTAGATATTTACATATAGTGGGGGTCCTTGCCAGCACGGAGGGGGTGCGCCGGCCGCTTCCTAACCTCTAATTTAAACGTTGGTTCACGGGCTTGACGGCGATGGAAATCTCTTTTTAAGTTTCCCCGGCGCCTCTTTCCCCGAGCCATTTCTGCCTGCCTGTAGTCACAGTGAATGTTCTTGAGTACAAGATGTACTGCTAACCGAGACAAAAATGTCATTTAACCCGCTGTGCGTTTTGCGTTCGGGGAAAGAGATTCCCACGACTGGGCTGGGCTGGGCTGTCTGGCTGGGCTTTTGTGTGTGTGTGTGAATGTGTGTGCGCGCGCGTGTGCTTTTGAGACAGAATCCACTGGATCCTTAGACACCCCCCCCAGCCTTCCGTGTCGTCCCCCCCCCGGAGCCCCACGGAAGCCTTTGACAGAGGCGGCACTCATCATCTTGCTCCGGAAAGCGTGCCGTGTCGAGAGAGCTCCGTCCGGTCCGTCCTGGATTTCCCGGGTCCGATCCGTCTGACTCGGGCTGGCCGAGGAGGCTTCGTGGCTTCGGCTCGCCGGGGTGAGGTTGGGCTTCAGCGGAAGCACTGCCCGGCTTCAACTCCCGGCGGCTCCGGCGAGCTTGCTTCTGGCTTGTTCCCCCAACGGGTAGCCCGTCCAAGGCACTTTCTTTTAACACGTGTGTTCGTGTCCGTGTGCATGTGCGTTATATAAAGCGCGATCCCCGGCGGTGGCGGCTCGGGGAAAACAGCACAAGTCAACCTCCCGGCTTAAAACGACACCCGTTTGTGAGGAGCCCTGGCGCCCCACCTTCTTCTTTCTCTCTTTTTTGTTAGCCCCAGCACCTCTTTGCCGGCATGAGTTAAATTGTGAGAAATCACAGTGCAGACCACTTTGTATTTCAGGTCCCCCCGTGGCTGTTGGTATGAACATAGACATTGCTAGCATAGACATGGTGTCAGAAGTCAATATGGTGAGTATTTTGCCATTGACTTTCCCACTTCCTCCCCAGCCCCGGCCCCTTCCCCGCCCCCCACATCTGTTTGTTGTGTGTGTGTGTGTGTGTGTTTTCTGATAGAGGGTTATCTGAGACTTCTGAATAATGAAGGAAAAAAAACAAAGAAAAGACAACTAGAACCAAGTCATTAAAAACAACAACAACAACAACCCCTTTGTGGTTACCACATGGAATGGCCGGGAATCTGCATGGTTCCAATGAGTTTGGCAGGCCTCTGCCAAGCCATTGAAATAAAGTCTTTCAAATCAGTGTCTTTGTACCTATAGTCTTTTAAACATTTATGACTTGTACTGTGTAAGAAGCTGACTTGATTTATTGATAATCTTACTATTTAGGAGGTACCATTTCAGACACACAGTTAAGCGCTGTTGAGGGACTAAAGGGGAACAATTCTGGCCTGCTTTTGCTTCATGCAGGAGCGCCCTCTGCTGACATTGTGGTGTTGTGCAGGGCCGAGAGAATATTTCTTTTACATTTTCATTGGCTCTTTGGGACTCTTTATTAGGCTGTTTTATTTATTATTTGGATGACTGGGGATTTAGATCAGTGGGAATGCTGCAGTTTACTGACCGTGGTTGTCAAATGCATTTTAAAATATTCGATCAACATTTCCTATAAATATGCTGCCAGTTCTGGAGTATACAAGCATATTACTTCACTTAGATATAATAAAATGTCTGTGTGAGTATTTTGGAATGAAATTTGACTCTGATCGCATGTAGTACAATCATACATGAAATGTGTGTTCCAGTTTCTAAAACAATTGGAGAAGTCACCTGAAAATATGAAAAAGTGTATGTTGTTAGGAAGAACACAGTCTTTTGCATCATGTAATAGTGGAAGTAATGCCTTTTAAAAATAATTTTTCATTTAGCAATTGAATTTACACGTAAAGTGTGCCTAATTCATTTTAAGGTTTTGAAATACAATGTTGTTAAAAGGCTTCAAGTGGCCTGTTCATAGATTTATTACTAGGCTTGCTAGTGAGGGGGGGGAAAGTAACTTAAAAAAAGCACAGGGGTATGGAATGCCTTCAAAAGCTTTGCCAGATTCGTAGTGAAACTTTTATTTTACAAAAATTGTAGATAGTATTAACTTCACTTGTATTTGTTCAAGCAAGGATGGGGAAACAATAGCCCTCCAAGATCTTGCTGGGACTGCAAGGCCATCATCTTCCCACCACTGAGTTTGGAGGCTGTAGCTGATGGGAGCTGAAGTTCAACAGCTCCGTAAGGGCCGCACATTTTTTACCCTTGTGTGAGAGCATTGGAGAGTTGATGGTCCTTGGGAGGAATTGTAAACAGGAGTCTGTGCAGAGTGCTGAGAGTGTTGACGTCCCGTCTGTAGCAAATGATAGTTAAAACTATAATTGAGTTTCATTACTGAGTAAGTGTTAGGGTTCCAATAGAAAACATTTAATTTGTCTTGCATTTTTCCCTCTAGTGTATGTACTTATTTGATTATAGCTTAGAATATTTGATGCTTTGGCCCACTGGTATGGCATAAATTAATACTTTCAGCAACTGCTGCATGGTATGGTCAAGAGTGGAATAAATGATGTGAAATTTCTTTCCATGTGGAGATTATATGTCCTGATTCTACATGATATGAAAGAACAATTAATTCCCTTTTTAAAATGTATTTCTACATATTTGTGTTAATGTCGGAGAATTATGTTTGTTTTGTTAACAAGGTATTTGTTACATGCCTAAACAACCATATGTCTTCTGGCTTCAGTTTCTTTCTTCTGTCAATTTCTTCTGATATGTCCAATGAGAAAGAGTTGTCTATTCCTCTTACGATATATTCTGTTATGTTAGTCTGTGGTGCAAGAGGGGTTGTCTATATGGCCAGTGATTTTAAAACCACCTCACTGCTGAGGAAAAAAGAAGAAGCTTAGTACTGATTCTGCAATCAGATGGGAGCTCCAACCTTTTTATTTGTTTAGGAGGTTTGCTGATAACTAACTGAATAGTATTGTGCAATATACACAAAAGCTTCTTATGATATGAGCTCTGGTATCATTCTTGTGATTTTCGTTTGCTTTGCTGTCTGCTTTTAAGCACGATGCAGTCTGTCAAATGGCCTCCAGAAGTTTAAAAGGTGAAGCCTAACTAGTAGTGCCTGTATCCAGAAGAAGAATGGGCATTATCTGAAAATGATGTTCCTAACTGTATTGGGTTGATATTTTTTGTACTTAACTGGATAAAATGATGCATCCTTGTGAAGCTTCCTGTACTCAGGTAGCCATGAGATGACAAAAAGGTGTCAGGGAATTTGGATTTGATGAGATAATAAGTGTATGCCTTACATGGACAAAATAGAATTTCTGCATTTATCTGAAATGTTGCCTGGCAGGAATATGCTTCCTTTTCAAAAATTAAAACAGATTATGATTCACTAAGGATTTCCAGACTGGTTCTCTGAACTTTGATTGTAGGAACTTGTATTATTTTCATGTCAGATGTTAGTTACCATTCTGTCACTTACTTGGTTTAGTGCATTGAAAAGGTCTTGCTTGGTCTTTGTAGGCTGCTGCAGACGCATCCTGCTCCCTTGCCCTCACTATTGGATACAGAGAGACTGTCTGTGGGATTACACGTGAACTTACACAAGTTCTCCTTTTACGTTTAAATTTTTGTTCAGTGGATTGATCTGTGGTTAAGGATTATGTCTTCACTGACATTTATCATAATTAATACTAAATAGGACTTCGTTAGTTTTAAATCCTAGTGAAGGGAAACCTCTGATGAATGTTAACTCCAATTATGCTTGGTTACTGTGTAAACCTTGATGTATATTTGGCACGGAGAACTTGGGGATAAAAAGAGGAAAGCTGAAAAAGAGAGGCATGGAAGCAATTGCCTGAGTTACGTCTAAGACATCACCATAGTTGAGAGTATCATCCAGCACGCATTTAGTTGAGGGCAAACCACATTATGTTAATGAGACGTGTTTTTGTGTAGACACACAGGGGAGTGTGCTGCCTGAGCTTGCTTGTTGTCTTCTTGCTCTCGGGGCCTCTTTGATAGGGATCAGGAGCAGGTATCCCTCAAGTACATTCTGCATGATTGAAAACATGATTGCCACTTCTCTTCCAAATATCAGTGTCATAAGGAGGTAGAAATGAGTGTCTGTGTCCACAGAGTCCACAGCTTGTTGGGTCAGGATTCTACATAGGCTTGCTTCTACGCTAATATTTATTTATTTATTTATTTAATGACCACCTTTCTCCCAAAACTGGGGCTCCAAATAATTTAAAAAAACAAGTAGAAATAAAAAACCCAGTAAATTTTAGCATTAAAGTAAAAAAAAAAAACCAAGCTGTTAAGTTACAACACAACTGAATTAAAAATAGCTTTAAAAGCACATGATTTAAAATAATTATAATTGAATATATATCATGTATTCATTAGAAGGGGTGTCTGTAGCAGACATGCATTTGTTAAAAGTCTACCTGAAGAGAACAATGGGTCGCCTGGGGCAGAAGGGCAACAGACATGCCAGCCCCTGGCCTCTGTAGGAAGGGAGTGCCACATTATGAGAGCAGCCACTAAAAAGGCCTTGGATGACAAGGTCAAGGTGTTACAGTTCAGATGTACGTGTCCTTACTCAGAGGTGAGTCCCACTTCTGGCAAGCCTCTCTCTGTGCAATAAGGCTTGTTTTCCAGGAAGTGTGCTTAGGATTGCAGCCCTGTGCATTCTTTTCTCCGGGAATAAGCCTCACGTCTGACTCAGCAAACATAGGATTTATTCGCCCACACTTGTAAGATAGTCTTTATTACCAGGAATATCAAAAAATTTATCTAGGTAGAAGAGTTTCATTGGATATTTATAAGGACACTTGACCCAAGTGTTGCTCAGATAATAGAGTAATCGTGTCATATTTTTTTCATTATTTATTATGGTTTTATGGTAGCCTTTGTTATATTATTGCTTATGCTATTTTTGACACATTGTGGCAGCTATTATTTGGATTAGGATGTTTGCTACACAAACCTATGTGCATTTGCATACACACCTGGATGTAGACCTGCTCCAATTGTGCTGGTAAAGTGTGTATAAGTGTCTGAGTTAATATTAATGTAAATTTTAGAGATTAATTTTAAAGAGTATTCAAGTTATGGTAGTATGATTGATATACAGGAGCAAAAAATATTGTTATTTAACAGATTCATTAAAAGGAAACTGGTATATCAAACAGTTCTGAGGAGGCTTTAACAACTATTTATCATTAAACACAAGAGTAAATTTATTACTGATGCGTTCCCAGTTTCTTAAACAATAAATGTGCATTTTTATTCTGGTGCTGCTGTCAATACAGATGTTTTCCTGCAAGAAACTATTTCTCCTGGATAATTATGTTTTCCCAGTGCTAAGAAATACATTTTTTCCCAGATTTAAAAAACAAAGGAATGGAAATACAAAACAAGAACAAAACAGGGATACAAATAAATGATGGTCACCAGGAATAATACCCCTTGGCACTCCTTGGCCGCCTAGAGTGGTCCAGAGGTCCAGATATGCGGGGTATAAATCAAATAAATAAATCAAATAAATAAATAAATAGAATGGCTCATGATCTCTCTCTGCACCCCACACCTTCTGTTACAACAATAAGTGAAATAAGTTGTGCTAGCCAGTTTATCACACATTGGACCTTTAAGTGTGTGAACTCTTGCTAGTAGAAGTCCAGTTTAATGCCCTACCTTTTGTTTTCCGTGACCAGTGTGGAAGCACATTGTAAGACACATGTGATTCTGCAATGACAGAATTACCAAATGTAATTGGCCCATGGGCTCAGGGGGAGCACTTCACCCTGAAGTTTTGGAGGATGTCCCACCCCTTCTTGGATGACAAGTCATCTCTGTTCCAGAACATGTAACAAATGGCAGGGATGGCGGGGGGAGTTGCGTTTTGAAATTTTGGACAGATACGCAAAAATCCAAAAGTTG